TTTTTCCAGTAGTCATGTATGGATATGAGATTTGAACCATGAAGAAAGCTGAGCACGAAAGAATTGATGCTTTTGAACTGTGGTGTTGGAGAAGACTCTTGAGAGTCCCTTGGAGTGCAAGGAGATCCAACCAGTCCATCCTAAAGGAAATCAGTTCTGAATTTCCATCAGAAGTACTGATGCTGAAGCTGAAACTCCAATACTTTGGCCACCTGATGTGAAGAACTGACTCATTTTTAAAGACCCTGAAATTAGGAAAGATTGAAGGTGGTAGGAGAAGGGCACGACAGAGGATAAGATGGTTGAATGGCATCATCAACTCAGTGGACATGAGTTTGAGTAAGCCTCAGGAATTGGTGATAGAAAGGGAAGCCTGGTGTGCTACAGTCCATGGGGTCGCAAAGAGTCAGACACTACTGAGCTACTGAACTGAACTGTGGAATGGAAGAGTATTTCCATCTAGCTCATCTGAGGCTTTGGTAGGGAGATACTATTGTGGAAAAACAAAGAACTATAGGGCATTAGAGCCCATGAACTCATCTCGCTTTGGCTACACCTTTTTAAAGATGGTAGAAGAACATGCAGAAGGAGTGCCGGGCCGCTGAATGTTTAAGATGTAGCCGGCTCTTCTCTCAACTTTGCCTAGGACCACAATTTCTAGTACTTCATGCAGCAGGGATAATACCCTGGGAAAGCCCAGGGCTTCTACTTCCCATAATCTCAAGTGGCCAAAAGGAGAAAAGATTCATAGCATTTGAACAAAGACAAGAAGCACATCTCCCTGCACATCACAGATTTGAAGCCTGGAGACTCAGACATCTGCTTCTGGATAGTGAGTTCAAAGTGGTCCCCAAGTATCTGGAGCCTCTACCCAAACCAGCAGCAGGGGCTCCAATCACACTCCTGACGTGAGAGTTGAGAGAGTAGGGTAGAGGGGAATATCTAATGTTTCTATCTACTTTTGAAAATAAATATCCATATAATTTCTGAGAGTTGGTGTGTGATTAACTAAGGAATATGTTAGACGGTTCTATAGATAACTGATCCAGGAAATTATAGATGGGATATTGGCTGGATAAATCTTCAAAATGTTTTCTATCCACATTGGCGTTTCCTCCCACCCTTGTTCATGCCATCACGTTTGGATGACTCCTTGGTCATAGTATAGAGGAAAGGAAGTCTCAGGGATGAAGGAACCAGAAATATGGTCCAGGTTCTTTCAAGGAGTCACTGGCTACTGGGAAACAACACAGTGAGGTTTAAAGTTCTAGTTTTATAAACAGGAGTCTGCATGTTGAACATTTTGGAATAACAACCACTGTGTGATGGTTAAAAGAGCACTGGGATTAGCAGTAGTAAGTTATAATTCTAGTTGTGCTTGTTCATTGCTACCTGCCCTTGGGTAGCAAAACAATGGAAAAAGAATAAGCTCTAGCCAGGCCTTCCTGGGTTGGAATCTGAGATGTTACTCTTAAAGAGTTTGATGTTGATCAAATACTTATGGATTCTGAGCTTCAGTACTGCTTCTATAAAGTGGTGCTCAGAATCCTTTGTTCCAGGGTTATTATGAGGTACAATAATATTACACCAAAGGTCTTGTACTTAATATGCTCTCATTATGGTGTCCATAGCCTGCATTATCATTTCTGGATAATAAAGTTATTAAAGCTGATCTGCCAGCTATACAAAGCTGTTTGTAAAATGACATCAAATCTTGTCATAAATTGAAGAAGATCTAAACAAATATAAGATTTTTTTTGTGGGTGAGAGAAAACTCGGTTTTCTTATCTTTGTCCAAAAAAATCAATATTGATCAGCCATTTCTCTGTAAGAGATAACAGAACTTTCTTTTTTTTTTTTTTGCCAAATAATCCCCAGAGTGAGGCTTTCAAGGTTCAAGTAGATAAAGGATGGTTCATGGAATGACTGCTGATTCTGGACTCTCAGGCATGAATGGGTAACGCTCTGCCTCCAGGTTGAAGACAGTCTATTTGAATAAATGATTACAAAAGGTTCAGAGCTTTGTGCAATTACAGAGACAAGGATGAGTTTTTTTTCTGCCTTTCTGGCAGTCAACAGTATATCAAAGCAGAGAGCCCTGTTGTTATTTGGACTTACAGGACTTCCATTATAGTGATCAGAAGTATTTATGGAGTATCATTAGAGTAGAGCTTTTGCGTAGATCTCACTGCTGCACTGAGCACATTACAGGCACATAGCCTAATTTACTCAGATGCATTTCCATACTCCCATGGACCTACACGTGTGTGTGTGGTTTTAAAATATGGAATATATAGTTGATATTTCCAAGTGGTCTCTGCACATGCTGTCATCAGCATGGTAGTTGGATTTCTTTCATGGTAGACGCCAAGAGTGTAAAAGGAGAACTGCTTAAGCTTAAGTTCAGGACTGGTTTGACATCACTCTTCCTGCATTCTACCAGTTATGTGAATCCCAGGACCCTCCCAGATTCATGGAGAGGGGACTATACAAGGCAGTGAATATCAGGAAGCATGATTCATTGAGAGTCATCAATGTAATGGAGTACTACTATAGCAATAGAAAATCTAGAAAACAATGATAAGTAAAATGGACAAAGAAATAAAAATGTCCCCCACACCTCAGTATCTTTAGATAAACATAATTTACTTTTTGATGTGTATACTTCTGGAATTTTCCCATAAAATTGAAGAATATTAATCATGTATAAGCAACAAATAGACCATGTGTAATATTAGAAGCAAAGATCCTGAGAGCCAAAACTTTGGAAAATAATGCATAATTGTCTTTTGAGGGTTAGATAAGATCTTCTGAATGAGTTGATTCTTTTTTTAAAAAATATGCTATTTATTTTTTAAGGATAATTGCTTTATAATATTGTTTTGGTTTCCACTATACATTGACATGCATCAGCCGTAAGTATACATATGCCCGCTCCCCCTTGAACCTCCCTCCCAGATCCCACCCGATCCCACCCCTCTAGGTTGTCACAGAGCCCTGGTTTGAGTTTCCTGAGTCCTATAGCAAATTCCCACTGGCTATCTATTTTACATATTGTAGTGGGTATTTTCCCATGCTACTCTCTATTCTTCCCACCTGTTCATTTGTCCCTTCCCTACCATGTCCACAAGTCTGTTCTCTATGTCTGTGTCTCCATTGCAGCTCTGCAAATAGGTTCCTGCGTATCATCTTTCTAGTTTCCACATATATATATATATATGCATTAATACATGATATTTGTTTTTCTCTTACTTTCTTAACCTTGTATCATAGGCTCTAGATTCATCTACCACATGAGAAATGACTCAGATGAGTTCCTTTTATGGCTGAGTAATATTCCACTGTGTGTATGTACCGCAGCTTCTTTATCCATTCATCTGTCTGTAGACGGATAGGTTGCTTCCATATCCTAGCTATTGTAAATAGTGCTGCAATGAACACTAGGGGTACTTGTGTCTTTTTCAATTATGGCTTTCTCAGAGTATATGCCCAGTAGTGGGACTGTTGGGTCATGTGGTAGTTTATTCCTAGTTTTTTAAGGAATCTCCATAACTAAAACTGAACCTGGGTCAGTCTCCCTGGTTCTCTTGCCCTAAGGGTTGTTCTGATGCTTTCTATGTAATCTATTATGGGAAAGGACTCGGAATACTATTATACTCATTCAATCAATTTTTCTGTGACGTCTCAGATTCTCTCTTCTTATGTGTCTTCATACCTGGGATAAACAGTATGAACCGGCCTGCAGTGTGGGAGACCTGGGTTCGATCCCTGGGTTGGGAAGATCCCTTGGATGAAGGCAAGGCAACCCACTCCAGTTGGAGAATCCCAAT